AGGGTTTAGGGTGTAGTGTTTAGGAGCATGAACCCTGCCGAAGCCTGTCAGCCAGATCTTTCAGCCCCGGAAGTATTGCCCCGCAGGCCCCTACTGCAACCTTGAACATCCTTGAGCCCTAAACCCTAAACCCTAAACGGCTACGGCTCAAGCTGTGCTCAAAACCGGTGTTCTGCCTTGCCCTAATCTGCCCCTGTCTCCCTCTCGCTTGGGCCATCGCGACCTGAACCAGGCCAAGGGTGACTTCTACTTGATTCGGTTCCTCTCGTTTTACCCGATTCACCGGCGGGACTTCGCTGGGCTCCACCGTCTCCATCTTCGACTACACGCTTCTGCTGAGCGACTTCATCTTGGCTCGACCTTGGCCCTGGTTTGGCCTTCTTCGACTACACGCTTCTGCTGAGCGACTTCATCTTGGCTCGACCTTGGCCCTGGTTTGGCCTCCACGCCTAGGGTCCTCGTTTTCTGGATTGACGATTTCGACCGTGGTGGGGTGACCTTCCTTGCCGAGACTGTCCTGGACGGGAACGACTTGGTTCCTGGTGGGGTGATCTTCTCCAACTGGGGTGCCTTCTTGGTTTCTCTCTTTACTCCTTTTCTGGTCTTGGTGGTTACGATGGCGGACAATGAGGCCACCCAGTTGGAACAAGACATGCTGGTCGAGGTTGGCTCGCCCACTGAGGTTGCGGAAGGCTCAGACTTACCTTCTGATGAAGAACTTCGCAGCTCAGTCAAGGCGGAAAAAAGGAAGAGAGAAGCTACCAGACCGTATGGCCATGCTCGTGCGATTCCAGAAGACGACGACCTTGACAGCCCTTCTAAACGGGCCAGTGTGGGTGACGAGGCCCCGCTCACAGCAAGTGAATTGAGAGCCATGCTTTCAGGCCATGTCAGTGAGATGCGGTGCGCTTGGGGGACTTTCCAAGGCCGTCTTGGCAAAGTTGAAGCCGATCAGGTGAGACTTAACGATGCTGTGGGTGATCTTCAAGCTCGGGCCGTTGTCATTGAGAAGGACGTCCAACATCAAAGGCAGGCGGCGCAAGACACCACGACCAGCCTAGAGACGCTTGCCAAAGAAGTCCGCAACATGAAGGTTCGCATCGAAGAGATTGACCCTGCTAAGGCGGCTGGCTCCGGAGGCCCGGTTCATCCTGTAGCTGCTGCTGCCGGTCTCCAACCAGATCCATGGGCCGAATTTCTCAGGAGACGTGATGGAAACAAACGGGGTGTCCAGCCTAACCTTGGCCCTCCTGCTGCTGTACCTGAAGGTGACAGGGGTGACTTCCTATCTGAGGAGGACAAGAAAACGTTGGTGATAGGGGGGTGGCATCAGGATACGAGGAGAAGTGTTATCGAGGAGGAATCCAGTGTCCTTCTGGGTATGGAGGAGGTGAAGCCGCTCATCGATGCTGACAAACTCGCCATTTACGGACCGCGAAGATCAGTGGGCATGCTCAAGTTTACCCTCCGGGAGGGAGAAGGCGAATCGGATCTGCGCAACAGGATGTGGCAGGTGATCAAGGCCTTGGCGAAGATCAAGTATGTGCTGCCGTCTACGCGGGCTGGAGGAGAGGAGAAAACCCTTTGGGCGAGTTTTGTCAAGTCAAAAAATGCCCGGCTACGTAGCAGTCATGTAAGCATGATCCGCCGGGTCGCGATTGCCCTCGCCAAGGACGCACAGGCCAAACAACCAGGGGGTGTCATTGGAGCGGTGAACGACCAGATAGCATCCTATGATTGTGATTGGAATATGGGCACCATTTGGTGCGGCAGTATGAAGCTTGGAAGCTCGTCGCACCGTTCTCCCCGTGATGAAGAAGTTGTAACTATGGCCGGTGGTTGGGTGAGTGTTACTGCAGTGGCAAGAACAGTGGGCTGCTCCATGGAAGAGGCGAAACACGCCTTTGAGCTGGAGCTATGACAAAACGCTGGGGTGAGTTTCACACCGGAGCATGCCACGAATTCGATGCCCGATGACGAAAAGCAGTCTCGTCCTAAGGAATGGCCGCGTCGTCAACCTCCTCAGCGTGCAAAACGTAGGTGGGGTAGAATCGGGCAGTGGGACCTTGCCGGACAACGTCTTGAACTTCTAGATGTTGTTGCTTCTGATATTGACATTGCCATGGTCCAAGAGATTACGAGGGGTGACGTTGGATGGGACGACTTCGAGACGAAGGAATTCCACTGGGTCACCCATAGATGTGATGCTCAATGGCGCGGGGTGGGTGTTGGAATTGCCACGGATAGGTTCGACTCTGTCATTCATAAAGTTGCCACCTCGAGGGGGATTTGGGTCGTTGTGCGAATTGCCGGGCTGGGTCGTGTCGTCGTTGGTTCTCTTCACGCTCTTACTGGGGTGACTAACGCCTCCTACCAGACCGCTATCCATGAGTTCATGCAGATGTGCCCCAGAAAGTACCGCCACCTGCCTCTCCTATGTGGGGCCGATGCCAATGAGGTCCCCGCCTGGGATGAAATTGGGGGTGACCTTAATTGGAGAATGTGGTAGCAACCTCAACACCTTGATGCATGACGCCCTCCAGCTCGGGATCCAGCCTTGCCCTCCTGTGCTTCCACTGCGTTTTGCTCCGACACATTTTCCTCGGGATGAAGAACGATCTGGTCGGCAGATCGACATGCTCCTCTCTAGAATGGTCCATGTCCAACCTGTTGAATTCGATGCTGATCGAAGACATGCCATTGGCACAGACCATGCACTGCTCTTTGCGGACGTCTGGTCCTCGGGTGGCTCTGTTGCGAACAAGTGGAACAATGACTCGCGTGCCAGGTGGGTCACTTCACCACTGCCAGAGGTTGAGATTGTGGACGAGGAGGAGCTCATTCAACTTGGGAAACAGTGCACCCGCCCGCGCATCTCTTCTGCCTACCGGGATGATGATGAGACCAAGCAAAGCATCGCGACCGCGAGGGACACGAACCTGCCTGCGGACTGGAAGCGAGTCCACCGTCTGCGTCGACAAGGTCGAAAACGCTGGCAACGTGAAAGACTCGCATCCGTACTCGCCGGCAACTGGGACAACTACAGGCAGATCCAGAATGAGAGGCAAAGGAAAAAAGGATGGTGGGGTGCGCTCCTTGAGGACAAATCATCACGACAACTTACCGAAGAGATCCGCGAGCACCTGGCCAACAAGATGATGGGCAAGCCTGGGACGAGGTGGGACAGCCAGCTCGACGACTATCTCCAGGCTGTTAATGAGGGGGGTGTGTTTGTGCCCTTTCAGATGCATGAGGTCTGCTACAACAAATGAAATGCCGCAGCGCTGTGGGACCTGACGGCATCGGAGTACATCTGCTGCGCTGCATCGTTGAGCATGAGACCCTCAGTGAAGGCCT